GACTCAGTCAAGTCTTTGAATTCTTCCAGCAGCTTGGCAATTGTTGGATTTGTGGAACTATCCTTTTCCTGGGCCTCAGTGACAGGTCTGACATATACTACAAAGACCTGGTCTTCTAACTGCTCCTTCTTTACTAATCGCGCGAATGCGGGAGCACTGAGACAACAATGTGTCAAGGTGTTATCTACACCGGACACATGGAACAAGCGGGCAGTCTTAACTTCGCCCGCCGGACTAGCGAGCCTACACTCATGCTCTCTCAAATGAAGTGTGGCCCCTGTTGCCTCTCCCCAATCCATTCCCAACTATATCAAAAGGAAGGTCATCTTGTACGAGGAGAGTTAGGGAATGAAGAACTTTCTCCACCTTCCCATCCTTCTCTAGGCGAAAGTACACCTGGACTCCCTCTACATAGTCCTCAACGCGCATCATGCGGTTGTCTACGAGGATACTGACTATGGGGTCTACTAATTTCTGGACCTTTAGTCCTAGCCTCAGCTTCTTCAGCGCCGTACGGCTAATATAACTACGGGTAGCCCCTGAGTCTATGAGGGCCCCTACTCTACTCTTAAACATCTCTTCCAGTAAGCAGAAATGCACCAATATAACACCAATGAAGAATCGTAAACTGAAAACCAATGTCAATGAGAGCTTGCTCTCACCACCACCAACACGAGTGCCCACGCCCTATCTCCCTACTTGGCGCTCGCTCTTTCCTATATGGAAAGAGCCTGCCTCTCTCGGCGGCCTGGCTGGCCTGGGCCTCTGCCCAGAAGCTTCAGGTAGGCCCCACGAGGCTGTGCCTCCGTTGCTGTTGTTGGGCCTCTGTTCGGTTGGGCCTCCCAACTGCCTGTGTATGAGGCTGCGATTCTCGCCCAGGGCCTGCATTTTTGGAAAGGCCTGGAAGGCCGTGGAATGTCTTGCTGCTCGGCTTGTGTTTCCCTCAACCAACTGGCGCGTCGAAACCGCCTGAACCCCGAATACGAAATTGACAGTTGAGGGCCTCTCGTGATTTGTTAGGCCCACCTTCACTTAGGGCGGGCACATCTGCAGCAGGGGCCCCTCAGGCCTTCCGAGGACCCAGATCCTCGCATTCCCTCCTCCTTTTCTTCGATAGTCCTCTGAGAAGTCTTCTAATCCGCAGGCATCTTCCCCTTGAGTTCTCTTTCATAGCCTGCAATAACTTGAGGTGCTTTTCGCATGAGTTCTTCTCTGGTGAACCACCGATCCTCGCTGGGATCCAGATGATGTGTGAATCTGACACAATATTGCATTCTTGGCTTAGAAGGGCGGCCTCTGCCCGACGGCTTAGGCACTGGCATCACTCGATGCTCCACAATTCGGTTGATGTCAACTTCACCATCCATGGTTGGGGGCAGCATTGACCGTCTGGAAGGAAACTGTGCAGTTTCTGCGAAAGGTGCCAGCTTTGAGGCGTGAAAAACTGGGTGTGTGCGTAAGTGAGGTGGGATGTGAATCACATAGGAAGGTCCGTCCATCTGATCCCCGACTATGTCTAGGACCTCCCAAGTACCGAAGTACTGTGGCATTAGTTTACGAGATATGCCCAGCTCTTGACCCAGTTCAGATGATTTCACCCAGACTCTATCACCTACCTGAAAGTTAGAGGCCCGTCTATGCTTATTCTCATATGCAATCATAGCATCCTGAGATTTCTTAATATGCTCGATTGGCCTGCTGCAGCATCTGCTCGTATTTGACAGCAAACTCTATGACTGCAGTGGGTTGTCTTTCTAGTAGCAGAAAGTCAAGTGTCGTTCTGGGGCTTCCAACCAAGGTGCAGTTGGTTTGGAGTCATATCAGTAGTACTGTGCACAACATTGTTGTACAGGCTGGTGACGAGAGGTAACTTCCCGTCCCAGTCATCCTGACTTGGCTTAATATCATGCCGAAGCAGGTGTTGTACTACTCGGTTCATCTGTTCTGCCTGGCCATTGGACTCAGGGTGGTTCCCTGACGTCATTTGTAGCTTGGTGCCCATCTGCTCAGCTGTTGACTGCCACAACTCGCTGGTAAATCTTACATCCCTATCACTCACTATTGACAAAGGGAGTCCAAAATCCCGAACCTAGTTATCCAGAAACAGTTTGATGATACAGTCTGTTATAGCAGTTTCTGGCATAGCGATAAGTCTTGCATACTTGGAAAAGCGGTCCACTATAAAGAAGACATGTTTCTTGCTTGTTCTGTTGGTCACAAGAGTATCCATGAAGTCCATGGATACACTCTGAACAGGACCTTCAGGAATCGGCAAGGGCTTGAGAAGCCCCAGCGGAGCCTGAGTTCTAGGTTTGTCTCGTGGACAAACCTGGCAGGTTTCTACGTACCTTTTAGCATCCTGCATCATAGAGGGCCACCAAAATCTTTGCACTAAGTTAGTTGAAGTCTCCTTATAACCAAAATGACAAGTTGCATCATGACATTCTCCTAAAAATAAATTACGCAAAGACTCTCTATTCGGAACACACAGTCTTTTATTACCTGCCTTCGCAAGAAACAGTAAGCCATCTACCATCGTAAATTCATCGGAGGTTACCTTATCCTTCGCTTGAAATCTACGAATGATCTCAGACATGACTGAATCTTGCTGATAGGCTTCCACCAAGGATCGAGTTACATCGTCAGATATACCAAACTCAGTCACTAGTGCGCCCAGATAATTTGCCCTTCGCGATAGTGCATCAGCCACTTTGTTGTACTCTCCCTTGATTGGATCAAGTTGATAGTCATACATGTCTATCACTTGAATCCACCACTTAAGTGCGTCAGAGAGTACAGGTTGTCTTGATCCAGCGCAAGGTCTCATGGTCAGATCTCAAGTAGAAGAATTTGCCTAGGAGGTAGTGTCTCCAATGGACCAACGCTCTGTAGAGGGCATACAGCTCACGCTCATACATGGACTTTGCTAGCTTTAGAGACGACATCTTCTTACTTATATACTCGATGGGTCTCAACTTTGGCCCCTCCTTTTGCGCAAGGACCGCGCCTACGCCATATTGGTTGGCGTTTGTGGTCACGACAAATGGCTTATCAGGATCCGGAAGTTCGAGGACTTCGTAGTGTGTCAAAGCATACTTCAATTTCTTGAAGCTTGCTTCACACTCTTCAGTCCACTCCCAAGGGGTGTCAAGTCGAGTTAGATCTGTTAATGGGGAGACTATAGTACAATAGTTTTTAACAAACGGACAATAGTAGCCCATCATCCCCAAAAACGATCGAACCTCAGTAACAGACTGAGGTCTGGGCCAGTTCCGTATGCTGGCCACTTTGGCATCGTACGGCCTCAACCCATCCGCGAAGATTTCATGACCCAAGTACAAGATCTTGGTGCGACCGAACTTGCATTTCTCCAAGTTTACCTTGTACTGGTGCTGTCTTAGGAGACCTAGCACTATTTTCAAGTGCTCAACGTGCTCCTCTAAATGTTACAAAAGATAAGGATATTGTCGAGGTACACGATGATAAACTTGTCTAAGTACTCATGAAATATCCTATTCATGGCATGCTGGAATGTCCCAGGGGCATTGCATAGGCCAAAGGGCATCACCACAAACTCGTCCAGACCGTACCTGCTTTGAAAAACAGTTTTGTGCTGGTCCTCAGGTCTAATGGCAATTTGATGGTATCCGGACTTTAGATCTATCTTAGTAAAGTACCGGCATCCCTGCACTTTATCCAATAAGTCGTCGATGCGGGGTAGGGGCTTTGCGTTCTTAACAGTGATGGCATTGCGGCCCCTAGAGTCAATGCACATCCTTAAGGTACCTCCCTTCTTAGGGACAAATAAGACTGGCGCATCGTAAGGGGAGGTACTAGGCCGAATCCATCCTTTTCTGTGAACTCCTTGAGCTGGCGGCGGAGCTCATCCAACTCCGCAGGAGGCATCCTATAGATTCATCCTCTAGGCACCTTACTACCTGGGACAACCTCTATCGCATGGATCACCTCCCTTTCCAGCACGCCTGTGGGCTCCTAAAAAAGGTCGGAATATTGCGCGACGACTGATTCTATCTCTGGGGTGGATTTTACGGCCTCCCCTTTTTCAGAGACAAAGACTAGATACATGCCTTCCTTGCGGTTCTGCTTATAGTAGTTATAGAAGGATGCTGCACACATGCACCCGTAGTTTTCCACTAGACTACTAGCTTTAAACTCCTGCAATCTAACGGTTCTACTATTGGGCAGCTTGTGGATCAACACCTTTCTATCCCAATCGAATTGAGGTCGAGCGACCTCGAGGTAGTACATACCTAGCAACATATCAAACGACAGTTCGTCGCTAATGAGGAATGAGATTTTGTGTCTCACTTCCCCTCCTCCATAAGAGAAGGAACATACTGGCTGTCAGGATCTTCAAGTAGCGTTGAGAGAGAGAGAGAGTTGCGGAGGCCACGGAGACTTACTTGGGAGCTTACATGTGGCGCCATAGCTCCAGCTTTGTCCTCGATGTACCACAGGGTCACATACCCGTGAAAAACTTATATGAGAAGGCGAGGATCCCTCATTCAGCCACCAATCGGAGAAGAAAATCATTGGGAAGCCTGTCTTCGGATATCGACATTGCTGAGTGCGTAAAATAGTAGGATGGATCAGATTGGTGGTTGCAAAGGGAGGAGGGGAAGGAGGAGTAGTAGGAGGAGGAGGATGAACATCTTAATGGTCCCTTTGTTTGCAATGACAACGTCTTAGAAGATAATTCATAAGGACCGAAAGGGAGGAGGAGGAAGGGGAGGAGGAAGAGGAGGAGGAAGAGGAGGAGGAGGCGGCGGCGGCAGCGGCGGCGGCGGCGGAGGAGGAGGAGGAGGAGGAGGAGCATTGGGAAACCTCCTTGGGCTGTTGGCGTGAAGAGACTCCAGGCAAACATGACGACTCCTTGTCATGCAAGAGCCGATCAACGGCTGCCAAATGGCTGGTTGTGGGGGTACAAAAAAAACTCCGTCTTTCGCACCAGAGTGACGGCTGCCTTGCTGATGCTCCTGCTCTGCGCAGTTGTTAAAGAGTCAGTATTTGTAGCTCGGGTCAATGAGATGTCGGAGGACTTGGATGATGACGATATGGGCGATGGTGTTGATGACCAACAATTCATAGAGGCGGAAGGTTTTGCCACGGTTTCAATGGGAGAGAGCAGGTTCAATGGAGACTGGAGACAGCTGCCGAACTGCACCGTGTATGCACCGGAGGATGTGTCCAAGTGTCCAGAAAAGACACACTGCATCGTTACACCCAACACAATTCCAAGGACTGGAGCTTGTAGTCCTAAGATAGGCTCATCTGTGGAACAAAAACTTGTCCGAGCTGCCCGGTGGAGGAACCAGCCACCCGATGTACACATGATCCTTGCTTGAATACCCAGGCTAACGGCTGCCTTGGAGCACTGCGCCCCGTCGGGTTGGCACTCTCACACGGGCAGTCCTGTGGCGCCCTACAGGTTGGAAACACGCGAGCACGAAGTTGCAGTTGGGTATGACCTGGACAGTTTTGGCGTGTCCGCGCCTCGGTGATGGGGTAGTGATGAAGTAGAGATCGGACAGCGGGAGGGTAGGAGGATGGAGCGTGACTCGGTGTTGCCTGCCTTTTGAAAGCACTTCGGTGCCATCTCCAGCTTTGCGCTTCATCCAGTGGTGTTACAGGTTAGCACGTTGGGTGAAGGGGAACTTGCCTTCAACAGGAGGTGGGTCTCCTTGAGAATTTCAGCCTTCTTATGGCTTTTGCTCCTTGGTCTGCGTAGTGTTGTGGTAGGCGGTTGGTATGACGCGGACGGAAAGGAGGAGCGTGTGCTTACGTGGAGCGGGAGGGGAGGCGATATCGAGTGCGTTGATTTCGTTTCTTTTGTATACATCTCTGTCATCAACGACACTCTCGCTGATCACCACCAGCACCGGCATCGGCGCCATTATCATTAGGGTGCTGCCCGTCACCATCATCAGCAACAGGGCGTGATTTGACATCATCATCACGGTAATGGTTTGTCATCATCATCAGGTCGCTGCTCGTCATCACCATCATCAGCATCAGGATATTGTTCGTCATCATCATCAAGGCGTATGTCTTTACTCCTGTTCGACGCTAATATCATTACTACTATCAAGGCGTCGTGCATCAGGGGAGCTTCTCGTCACTCACTGTTGTATCACCATCGTCAAATTTCTCTCCATCATACGGCACGGGTGGCAAAACTTGACGTCATCATAGGGCTTTGCTCATCATCATCATCATCATCATCATCATCATCATCATCTTTATGTTCTTATCCAAGGATCTCGTCATCACACCATCATCATCTTGTAGTCATCATAGGGCGCTATGCGTCATCATCCTTACCATCATCATCATCATCATCATCATTATCATCATCATCATCATCATCATCATCATCATCATCATCATCATTATCTTCATCATCATCATCATCATTATCAACATCATCATCATCATCGCTATCATCATTACTATCACCATCATCATCATCATCATCATCATCATCAGTTTGTAATCATAGGGGCTGTTGGTGCTGCTCTTTGGTATGATCAAGATCATCTTTCCGTTCTCATCATTATCATTATCATCATCATCATCATCACCATCATCATCATCATCAACTTATTTTCAATTAGATGTTGCTCTGCATCAGCAGGTCAGTTGGTTGTCACCATCATTCTCATTGTTATCGTCTTCAGGGTGCTGTCCATCGTCACCAACAAAATCCAACAAAATCCAAGCGAATGATATTTTGGTAAGTGTGTCATCAATAACTGTAGTCGGCTGGATCGGATTGTTCTCGGAGGGCTGAACAGTGGGAAGGGGGTGGGGGGAGCTCTATCCTGCAGGGGCATAGCAGGGTGGGGGGTGAATGTCTCAAAGAGGGTAGGGGCGGAGTAGGGGGGTGCCTTATTCTGGGGCAGAGACTGTGGGTGGGTCCATCAGTCCCTGCGGAGGCGGAAATGGGCAAGGGGCGGGGGGCCATGCTTTAGGTGGGAACTGCGTGCTCCTGGGGAAAGGGGGGGAGAGGTTTGGTCCTATATTGGGGCCGAGGGAGAGTGAGTGACTCTCCTCGGCGGAGGCAGTATAGGGCTGAGGGGGAAGGGGTAGGGGGAGAGAGGGCCGATCTCTCTCGAAGAAATCTATCATCTTGTTTACAATAGCTTTCCATTTGGTTGCCTCTCGAGGAGGTTGTAGGAATAGGTGTTATCTGGCAAGCCATCTGTGATCCTGCGAGGGGTGGTTAAAAAGTCGCTGGCCCTCGAAGACCAATGTTGGAGCAACCCTGGCCAGAGCTGGAGCCAGGTGGCGCAACTCTGTGACCTAGCTTAGTGGGGGCGTGAGGCCTGGTAGAGAGCTCTGGGGGGCTGTTTGTGGGGGCAGTCCCAGTGGTCATCAGGGGTCGTAACTGGAGCAACACTGGCCGGTGCTGGAGCAAGGTGGTGCAACTCTGTAACCTAACCTGATGGGAGCATGAGGCCTGGAAGAGCTTCGGTTCGTGCTAAAATTAACCATGCTGGTGGTGGTCGTAGGGGGATTGAATGATGGGGAGGCTTATTGACACACATATTCTTTTGACTCGGTAGAGTCTGAATGGAAAAAAAGTCAGTTGTTCGTATGAATGTCTTAGGACTTTAGGGTTTTTTAGCAATCCATCTTAGGCAGTTTTGATATAGTTATACTCAATAATTTGTGGTCGTTCGATGTTAGAACGACGCTGGCCGGTGCTGGGGTGTTGCCTTGTAACCTGCTGATGCAGGAGCGTGAGGCCTGGTAGAGAGATCTGGGAATGCTTTGGGGTGGGCATCCCAAGGGACGACCAAGGGTTGCTGCTGGGATGACGTTGGTCGGAGCTGGGGCGAGTTGTGTTGCCCTGTAACCCAGCAGGGTGGGGGCGTGAGGCCTGGAAGAACTCAACAGGGAGTAAGACGGTGTTGGGAAGTCTTAGAAAGGTTTGTCAGGGAACCTGAGAGTAGTGAGCATTCGTAGGACCTCTGTTTCACAGTTTGTTCTCAATCGAAGCCGGGTAATGGCCCCGGTATCTCAAATGACCTCAAAAGACCTCAAAAAAAAAAAAAAAA